AACAATAACAAATCAAAATGACACTCATGAGGAAGTTAGGAGGAGATTAAATTCTGGAAATGCTTGCTACTTCTCAGTTCAAAATATTTTGTCTTCCCGTCTGATTTCTAAGAACCTGAATATTAAAGTATACAAAACAATAATCTTGCCTGTTGTTTTGTATGGGTGCAAAACACAGTTTGCAGGTGTTTGAGAACAGGGTGTTGAGGAGGATATTTGGGCCTAAGAGGGAAGACGATGGGGCGTGGAGTAAACTGCATAATGATGAGCTTAAAAATCTGTACTCCTCCCCCAGTATTGTCAGGGTGATTAAGTTGAGAAGAATGAGATGGGCGGGGCATGTAGCGCACATGGATGGGACAAGAGGTGTGCACCGGGTACTGGTTGGGAAACCTGAGGGGAAGAGACCACTGGGGAGACCTAGACGTAGATGGGAGGATAATCTCAGGTGGGATCTATGGGAGATAGGAGTCGAAGGAGACTGGATTTTGTTGGCCCAGGACAGGGTCAGGTAGAGAGCTTTGGTTAATTCGGTGATGAACCTTCGGGTTCGGTAAGCCATCTAGTTAGTTAGTTAGTCCAATATGGTTAATGTAAACTGGAATGGGGCAGGAGTAGCAGTACGGTAATTATTAAAGTAACAACTTGCTTTCACATACATTCTGCAGATGTTTCTTTGTTATCCACAAGCTTATGGTCTGGGTTAAGTATACAAAGCAAGTGCTAACCACGTCACCACAATGTTAAGTGGAACATCTACTATTCAGCCAAGGATACACATTATGAATTGATAATTACTACAATCCTCCCCTAAATTTCCTTAATCACACTTTTCCCTCTCTGAAGGCATGTCTTTTTGAGTGTGAGGTTACAGAAGATCCCACATTCATTTGCCCTGGTTTGTGAGGTAAATGCTGTCCTTTGTACTTCAACCTCTGATGGATTCATACTGTGTAAGGAATCCAGATTTCCCGGTATATCAGGCCAGTTCTCTTCCTGAACTGGTCTACTTGCACACTGGAAGGATTAATTCCACATTCAGCTGAGATGCTACCTTCAATGATTCAGCACAATGGTACAACCAATGGGTATCCCAACAACAGTTGTTTGCTTGAACTGTTGTAGTAAAACTTCCTCCACTTTATCATGTTTCCTATGCTTCTTCATTTTATTTTACATTATACATCAGCTATTCTTGAAAACAAAACACCTTTCATTACCATTTAATTAGGTAAACAGCATGCTGAATTTCTCTGCTTGTTGATCACATGAAACAGCTAGATCCACCTCCACTGTCCTCACATTAAATTTTTCTTGTAAAGTCATTGCTTTCTATTTTAACCCAAGCACAGGAAATATTTGAGTTTGCCAATTAACATGCACAATCTATGTTTCTTATATTCACATAAAGCAAGACAATCCAACATAATTAAAACAAAGAAACAAATAATAATGCAAAGTAAAAAGGTGGAAATGAAAGTTTTATGCCATACTCAATGAACAGCATTGAACATTATCCATTCTTGCACTAAGGCTGGGCGTTTGACTTCATTCATTCTACAGTTGGAAAATACTATATTCAAGAACTTATTACATGGAAAACTTTAACATTATAACCACAAGACTTATGGCTGGACTTCCAAAACCAATCATCACACAAACACTGTACATATTTTTACAATACTTAGTTGTTCCTCAATGTAATCAGTAATTATCCAGTTGAACTCACCCCTTTAATTGGATTTTGTTGCAAAATTCCACAGTACTGTCGCCACTTTCTTCTTATAATGCCTACAATATGGCCTGTAGGCAGTTTCTCCACTTGTGTCTCCCTGCTTTTTATAAGTGTGTCCTCCTCCTCTAGTACATCTCCTGGAAGCAGGTAAGAGAAAAATACATTTTTTCTAAATTTCCACCATCTTATCATGAACCCTATGTGACAGAAGAGTCCCACTTGAAAAGTTTACAGTCACTCAGCTGGTCAAGAAGCCAAAGGTTCATTAACAAGGAGAGATTTCAGGATCTCACGATTACAAATATGAAGATGACTGCCTTCAAGAGAGTTGAGGCACACAATCTGGTAGAAGTGCACATATGTTTCAAGGTATTTCCTGCCTCCATCATTGGGGCAATAAGTCAGCAAGTACCTCTTGAATGTTGGTTATCTTCTACCAGACTAAATAGTTCAACAACCCAGAAGACAGTCATCTTCATTAATTAATAAGTTTAAAAGAACCATCACTGGTTCCTTCCCTGAGCTACTTGAATCTGATCTGCATCCTCAAATTCTGTTTCTTTTAGAACCACTGTAATATAATCCTAGAATCTATACCTAGGTCCCCTAAGAGTTCTCTTCCATTCATGTATTCTGACTAAAATTTTATATGCATCTCTCAAAATTCTCACACATGCTATACGTCCCTCCCATTGCATCTTACTTTGTTTGATCACACTAATAACTGAGGACTTAAGAGTGAATCAACATAACATTCCAGTACACTTTTGCATACGCTATCAGTTCTCATTTCCTGCTCATAACAACTTATAGGTTTCCTGTATTTCAACTTGTCTCTAAACTTCATTCTTCTATTCCTCCACTTGTGTCATGTAATTTCTAATCCATACCAGAATCATCATCTTCATCCTGCAGTACCATGTGACTAGGAACTGACCACTCCTCCTTTGGCAGCAACTTTACAGCCACAATGTCTCCGTCCACTGCTCGGTTTAGGCCCACACATCCTTGCACTAAAACCTGCAAGAGCCAACAGATCATGTCTAAACAAGGCAGTAAAGCTCTTCAGTGGGACGCCTTCTAATAACATTTCTAGAGACCTAATGGCCTTGGACAGGAAACAATGCAGGCCAGTAACAGGGTTATTAAATGACCATTGTACACTGAGGTGGCACCTACATATCACGAGCCACTCAGATAGTGGAAAGTGCAGGAAACATGGTTAAGAGGAGGGATCATCCCATTATATAGTCTAACAATGCTCAGCAATGAATGGGAACAGATCAGAGATCTTCAGCTCTGCATGGCTAGACATGACAGATATTAAGAAGGCCTCAATTAGGTCAGTTCTGGCTCTAGCAGTGCAGTCAGGGCTCTTTGAAGGGCTGGGACAACTTAATCCCCCCACAAGATCAATAAAATACATAACAAGGCAGTAATATGCATATACAATATAAGAAACTGTCAAACTATGCGAAATGTCAGCAATGTACAGGATAGCAATCAAAACTTTCTATGTGACCTAATGACAAAGTGTTGAAATTCACACAATAATTAACCACATTAAAATTTACTCTTGCATGACACACAACAATTTTATATTATGCTCTTTCAATAAATACAGGCTGATTATAAGATTAGTATGGCCTGTTTCAAAATGCGGTCATCATGCTCTTCACTTGTTTCCTAGAAAGTACCACAGCAGACTGCATAAACTATATAATATTTCAACAGCATGTTACTTAAATCGATACATTAAGGAAGAAAAGAAGAAAAAAGTGAGAGGAAGGAAGAAAATAATAAAAGACAACTGCAGTCTATAGGAAGCATTCTAATGTTTTCGAACACAGTACAAATTTTGGGCTAAAGTTTATCTGAAATTGTCTTGTGTAAACTCACCATTTTGTCTTGTCCTTCCACACTCACTTGTCCTTCAAGGAAGTTTTCTCTAGATGCCAAGAATGAACCTTGAAGTAATTTCCCTGATTTTATGCCTTCATGAATCTGTGAAGGAGTTAGATGTGAGGGAAATAAAGGTTCTCGGCCACCAGCCTGAAGCTCATATGTAGTGTTATGCTGGGACAACCTGTCTTCAAGGCCTGGGCAATTATCTACATGTCTTACATAGTCACCAACTGCAAAACACACCACATATATATATATATATATATATATATAATTTACAAGGATGAAACACAGTATCATCATCCACCACGTAAAATTAATGTTACAGTGTAACTCTAGTGTTTATTATAAATGTCACTAAGATGAACAAAGGAAGCAGTAAGCACACCTGTGGCAACAAGAAGACCATCATTTTCAGCTTTTTGCTTATTCTCAGCATCATCTGTAAGTAATATCACTCTCACATAATCTTTTTTCTTTCGATCTCCTTTGTTTGGCATTAGGTGGCTTTCATACCAAGCAACAGATACTCGTATAGCACGATCATTGCGGTCATTAACTTTCTCCCCTGGTTCTCGCTCTACATATGTATCTCTGTAAATAAAGCAACAACAACAACAAAGACAGAACTTAACAGAAATACCGAGAGCTTTAAAAATACAGTTACCTGTTTGCCTAGAGTAACTTTATTTTTTAAGCAAGGAAGCAGAAATTCACAGTACTAATTTATATTAACAGATCTGGTTTTAGTTCTTTATATTTTTTTAAAGTGTAAGTTGATATGTTGGTAGTACTTTTCTAACTATTTTCTCTTAAGTCAAATAAAGCAAAGTAAAAATGGATTAAATGCATACATAAAGATTTGAAATCAAACCACAGTATTTTTTAAAAAATAATAAGATTTAAGATCTGATATTCTATTGTTACTGGCTGATTTTGGCCGCAGAACTAACTTCACAAATGTTTCAACAACTGATGAGAGGTAACAAGTTACTAATAGACTTTTTACCATCTCTTTGTCACCATGAAACCTATTCATTAACCCATTTAAAACGTACACCACAGCACTTTGTCAACAGTTCTAAAATCTTAAAAAATTAATTTTCTAAAATTCTTCCAGCCTCCAATGCTATAAATAAGTGTCATAAGTCAGATAAACAGCAATAAGAGTTACAATAGTTGTTGTGTACAGTCACAAATAAGAGTTAATTTTTTAAAGGCTTTGGGGAATGTACTTTAATTCAGCAAATAGCACTTCATATAACTTCCAAAGAACTAATAATTATAACAATAATTGTTTCCACAAAGCAGAATCCTCTTGAGAAACTGATAGTAATTCAGCTAGTCAAGAAATCCCTCAAATGCTCATTACTGTGTTCAGTTCACAAGAGCATATGATAATGATAATAGTAGAATTAACAAAGTAATAATCCAGTTATAAATCCATGCCATGGGAGACAAGCAAAAAAAAAAGTTTTGGCCTGTGTATTATGTACATAGTGAAGAAATTATTTAATAAATCCATCAATGTTGTAGAACTTACTTATGATGCTCATTTACAAAAACATAGAATTTTCGATTTGGATTCCCAATGATGTCTTTCAATCGTTTATAAACTGAAGAACTTCGATGCTTAACCTCTTCTAAAACAGTCTGTAAAATTATAACATTGCACAGTGCATCCTCCTCCAGCACAGTGATCTGTAGAGTAAAACCACCTTATATTAAAAACACAAATATATAAAACATAATTTAATTTCAGGGTTTTATTTGAGCATAAGATTACTAAAAGTAAGTACAGATACCAAACCTACAATGAATTAAGATTTATGAAAGTATGGAATTGGAGGAAAAAACTTTAAATACACATGATGGTGGCAGTGAGAGAGCATGTGTTCATTCATATGCAGAAGGGTGAACACACTTAAGAAGTGATGACACTGCAAGTTCTCTGGATAATGTGCATATTCCTAACAATCTTGGAGAACGTAAATCTGCAATAAGATATTTAATATGTAAACAAATAAAATACAAATTTCATTAACTGCTTAATGCCTATAATCACAGGCAGCTGTGCATCATTGATCAATGTTAAATACAGCAGAAAAACATTTTTCTTCCATTATGCTAGCTGCAGTTCAATTACTTTAGATTTTAACCTTTACTATGCTTGAGTCAACATACAGTCCAGCTGGCAGTGTCACACTAGAACACCACTAAACCAGTTAAATTCCAGCCAGCAGCCCTATAGTATGGTGAAGAACTTACAATATCAACATTCCTTCAAATGCTAACATTCATACAGCAAGGCTGAGAGGAACTATAAACTAACAATTACTAAACAATTTAGTGATGTACTTCAGTGCATAACTTCTGGACCTAAAATACAGATCAAGCTAAAATATACTGCTAACCTGATTCAAAACAACACACGTGTCCAACAAAATATAATGAGGAAATGGAAATATCTTGTTCTTTGACAGTGGTATTTTCTCTAAAATCAATTCATTGTCCTGGTGAGCACATTTTCTGCAGATACTTGATCCACACCATATGTCATCACGAAGGTAATGTTCCCGTACAATCTGCAAAATAGTTCCATCAAGAATTACTGCATATCAGACCACTAAAAGATAATTACTACAACTGCAGTAAATCTAATACTACTTCGATAACATCCACTAAAACATTGGCGAAACAGAATGTACACTACAAGGTACACTAACACTATGCCACTTTTACATCAACAGCACACATTAGAACTTGATGTGTTTCATTCTACACATTTTTTATTTCTTAATAGAATTATACAACAAAATTAAATAGATGACAATAAAACCACATTATTTACTACTATTCTGGAAAGGAAACATATCAAAGGAAAAACTTTACAATACAGTGATCTCATTTACCTGTTAGTCAATTTCAAGTTTGTTTACACACAAAATATAAATAAACCTGACCCAATCAATCCTCCATCTCTAACAATAAGTCTGGATTTATTTAAGGTTAGCAGCCACAGCAAAAACCATTCCAACTCAAAGTAACTCAACTGGTGACCATTACTATAAGATTCACTCATATTACAATTACACTAGTTTTCTGTGAAAAAAAATTCAATTATAACTATAATATTTATCTAGTAATTCAACCCTGCTAAATCATTAATAGGGTAACCATTTTCAAAGTGACCACTGTCAGATACGAGGGAGAACTGGTGTCACGTTTAGGTTAAACAATGCTTATATCTGTAAGAAGCGATTTAACTTACCTTCAATATATTGCCTTTCTTAGTCTTCCTTAGAAATGTCTTTGTAGTCAACATTGCTACGACAACTCAAAATACCTACTTCGAAACTTCGAACCACATTACCACAACCCACAGCCGAAGTTTATACCAACCACACCACGACGACCAAACAGCAACTACCCCAAATCAGAATAGCCAATCATTATTCGCACACAAAATATACCTAACTACTACTATATTTATCTATCCATATTAAGTGTTTAGTTTGTTCAAAGAGAAAATTTAACACGAAAGCGTACTTTGCAATTGTTATCTGTGTTTCACAATTACTGTATGAAGGCGATTAAAATGGAATTTATATTATGTAAATATACATTTGACCACCCAGATAAACTAACAAAATCAATAACCTGCTAGAAAGTCATACCGGAACCAGTGTTCGACGTATAAATGTTTCGTACTTAGAAACATGCGTGCAGAAGGTAAATTTTATGTTCAATTAAATCACTACTCGCCATATTATTGATCTGTGTTATCGTGAGCGGTAGAAACATGAAAGCCGGTAGTGGTATGTTATCTATAAATTAATCTTATTCACCTGAATCCATAGCTTTGACTCCATAACGTGTACTCTTCATAATGATCGAGGAATGTTGGGATGATGTCAATACTGCACAAACAACTGTCGGCTCAGTTGATTCTGGTACCAATTTCGGCCGTGGCAGAGGATTTATTCCATTGGAAAGTATATCAAATTACAGTGACTCCGTTGGATGCAGAAATAATGTAACAGTCGACGATTTAACCAGTTCTGTTCCTCATGGAAAAAATATGAGTAATAATGCTGACAAAAGGCAGAGCTCAGGGAGAGGGCGGGGAAGAAACAGAGGTGGAAGAGGACGTGTTGGCAGGGGAGGGCTCGAAGGGTCGCGCAATGATGGTAATGGTCTTCAAGCTAGAAGAGGGGATAGTAAGAAAAGTGGGCACCAGAGGAATTCAGCTGATGATGATAATGGAATCAGAAGTCAAAAGGGCAAAGACGCTAGTTTCACTACAGAACAGTCAAGAGAAGTATACATTCCACCAGAACCTGCTGATGATGACACTATGTTCACTGGAGGTATTAGTACTGGCATGAACTTTGACAAGTATGACATTATGCAAGTGAATGTAACTGGTGAAAATATTCCCAAACCAACTGAACACTTCAAAAACTCTGGACTTCGGCAGCTTTTGTTGGATAATATTCATAAATCCGGTTATTTGAGGCCAACTCCAGTGCAGAAACATGCTCTTCCTATTGTCATGGCAGGGAGAGATCTAATGGCATGTGCTCAAACAGGGTCAGGCAAGACAGCAGCTTTCCTTCTACCAATGATAAATTTACTACTGCATGATTCCAAGGAACTAATTGTAACAAATGAATACTGTGAGCCTCAAGCAGTCATCATATCACCCACAAGAGAGCTCACTCTGCAAATTTTTAATGAAGCAAGAAAATTTTCCCACAGCTCAATCATAAAGACAGTTGTTGTTTATGGGGGTGCAGCTGTGTACCACCAGGCCCAACAGGCCATGAAAGGCTGTCACATCTTGGTGGGAACTCCAGGCCGTCTTTTGGATTTTGTAGACAAAGGTCAAATTACATTTTCATCCTTGAGGTTCTTAGTCCTGGATGAAGCTGACCGCATGTTGGACATGGGTTTTATGCCTGACATTGAGCGCATGATGGGGCATCCAACCATGGTAGCAACAGGTGAGCGCCAAACATTGATGTTCTCTGCTACATTTCCAGAAGACATCCAACGATTGGCTGGGAAATTTCTAAATAATTATTTGTTCCTAGCTGTTGGCATTGTAGGCAGTGCGTGTTCTGATGTAGAGCAGCATTTTCATCTAGTGCCAAAATTTGAAAAAAGACCAAAACTAGTTGAACTTATTTCTGAAGAAGGAGGTACAAAAATATTGGTATTTGTTCAGATGAAGCGCACAGCTGATTTCATCGCAGCATATTTGTCAGAGAACGATTTTCCTACAACTAGTATTCATGGAGATCGTTTACAGCGAGAACGAGAAGAGGCCTTGGCAGACTTCAAAAGCGGTCGTATGGGAGTATTAGTAGCTACTGCTGTTGCAGCAAGAGGACTAGATATAAAAAATGTATACCATGTTGTTAACTATGATTTGCCTAAGAGCATTGATGAATATGTTCATCAAATAGGACGAACTGGTCGTGTGGGAAATTGTGGAAAAGCAACCAGTTTTTATGATCCTGAAGTTGATGCTCCCTTAGCAAGAGATCTGGTCAAGATTCTTCAACAGGCAAATCAAAATATACCTTCATGGCTGGAAAAGGATGCTTCTAGTGCTATAATCTCATCTTCATACCCTCGCCATGGTCGTTTTGGTGGAAAAGATTTTAGAAAATTTGAACATCAGAAAGAAGCATCTGACAATACATTTGGAGCAGTGACAGAATACAGTTATAGTCCGCCTCGAACTATTGAACCTGGAGCAGAATGGTAGAGTATAGTATTATGTGCTTACGTGTCTGGCCTGGACATATTGCCACTCTGCATAGGCATGACAGAAATTCAGGGAACAATTAGTATCTATGTGGTGGCTTATAGGTTCAGCAATACTTGAAAACTTCATCAGAGCTAAACTTGCAACAAATATATCCAGGCTTAAAATGTTGAGCCTTTCAGTACAGTAAACTTATTTGCACTTGCATTCAGCTTCAAAGAATATATTAGCACTATGAATTAATTATAAATTTAGTCAACTTACCATTTATTTGATTGGTCAGAAAATTAACTGATTAATAGAAACACTCTATGTCATGAAAACTAGTGCTGATTTTTATAGTAAATTAGTAATATGTAACTTTAAATGTGAACCTAACAAACCTTCCTGTTACACAGACTGTCCATCAAATCTTGTGTTATTAATGATTTACATTACCGAAAATCCTTAAATGGTAAACTGGAACCTATAAAACCGATTTTTGGATGCCATTACTACCCTGCTCCTATATGAGCCGGGATAGCTCAGTCAGTATAGTGACTAGCTACAGGCTGGATGACCGGGGTTCGATCCCCGACGGGGGCAGAGGATTTTTCCTCTAGCCTCTGCGTCCAGACCGGCTCTGGGGCCCACCCAGCCTCCTCTACAATGGGTACCGGGGTCCTTTCCCGGGGGTAAAGCCGGCCGGGGCGTGATGCTGACCACTCACCCCCATCTAGTGCCTAGGTCAAGGAAGAGAGGAGCTATACCTCCACTCACCCCAAATGCCTACATGGCGTTTAGTGGGACAAACTTTACTTTACTTTACCCTGCTCCTATAATCTGTATATCTTATTGTGTGGAAGTTGCTCATGTTTTTCTGTGTGTACACAAAATCCTTTAAAAATGTGGCAAATTAAAATATTTGGGAACAGTAACAAATCAGAATTGAATTCATGAAGAGATTATGAGCAGATTAAGTTTGGAGAATGTTTGCTACTTTGCAGTTCAGAATATTTTTCTTTCCATCTGCTATCTAAGAATGTAAAGATTAAAACTACAAAACTATAATCCTACCTACTGTTTTGTATGGGTAAGAAACTTAGTCTTTCACATTAAAAGAACACATTGAAAATATTTGTACTGACGAGGGAAGAAATGACAGGAAATGGGAATCGGAGTTCCATGCTCACCGACCTAAAACCACGCCCACTATCAAATTTTCCTAAATTCCCTTCCGCACTTATAAAAAGATTCGAAGCTGTAACCGTATGAGCGCCTGGCAAGTCCCTGGGTTTGATCCATGACGTCAACAAACAAAACCTGAGGAGACGAGAGTGTGGAAGGACGGTTGCAAGTACATACAGAATTTTGGTCAGAAAACCAGAAGGGAAGAGAGATAACTTGAAAGAATGATGTGTATGTGGATAACATTAAAATGGTTGGCTCTTCTAAACACAGTAATGAAACATGGGGCTTCACAAAAGGCAGTGAATTTCCTGACTAGTTGAGCAGGAATCAAAATTTTCAATAATCTACCATCAAGTCTCACAAGTCTTGTATATAAGAAGGAGCAATTTAAGGTAGCATTAAAAAGATACTTAATTACACACTGCTTTTACTGTCAATGAATTTATGTTGTTTACAAATAAGTGATAACTTGTCTTCTGTGTGTAATGGGTAGGTCTATTTGTAGCTTATCATTTCTTTGCGTGAACCCTTTGTTTTGTATTATGTGAAATTTATATAATAGTACTTTATAATATGTATTGTATTATTATTATTATGACGACTTTTTCCACATCCTATTGTCATGTCTTATGGATCCATGGAACGTAATAAATTATTATTATAGCAACTGTTAGCTTCTCAGGGAGGATTCTATTCCTTGGAGTTCAGTAGGTTCATAATCCAGTAATAAAATGTATTTTGGCTCATGGGTTAATGTGCTGGGCTCATAGATATAGGACCACATCATCTTAAAATTATAATTTTATTTGATCTTTTAATTATGTTACACATTGTTACTATTACTGTTATTATTGGTCTTGTTTGGCTGTTGGCAGACATGTAAATAAATTAGTTTAATCAAATTGTTATTATTAGTAGTAGTAGTAGTATTCTCACTTTGGAAATAACTTGCTGCTTAAGCACATACTCTGTATTAAATTTGTCAGACAACCTCAAAGTTTCTTCACTATATTTGAAACTGTTTATAATGATCACACAAAATCCTACTTCCAGTGGTCTATTAGTTATCACTGTCAAACCATAAGCTAAATGAAAATATTTGTATGTCACATTCCACACCTCCCCCACCCACCCCCAAATTTCACAACTCTTATAGTAAGTGTCACTTCCACCTCACATGATTGTGTACCCATGTTATTCCTGATTTTGAGAAATTAAAAACTATGAGGTACAGGTGGCCTCTGAAGGCATCAAATTTATATTAAACTTCATGAACATCAGCTAACTGGTCCCTAAGTTGGAATGAAAATATTGACAGATAAAGTATGGTGATCTAACAAGCTACATATCTTACACACACAAAGTAGGCTAAAAAATTAGAATTACAATGCATCATCAGCATAACAGTTTAAGCCTGGCTTGTTCCAGATTTAAGTTCATTTAGTCTTTCTATTTGTTGGTTTGACAGCCTTAAGTTCTTCCTGTGGGGCAGTATATACGAGTTATATCAACATATGTAAAAAAATCTAAACATTATATTCTTCAATCTAAATAATTTCCTATGACTGGAGTTGTATTTAATATATTAGGGTAAGGAAAGACTTTCTCTGAAATTATATTTATCGAATATGATTCCTGTATTTGTATTTCCAATTTCATGTTGATTTCAAAATGCCATTCTCATGTAATCTATTATTTATAATATTTGGATATGTGAAATGTAGTTAGCATTTACCAACATATGAGAATTTGTTTATAAAAAGTTGGAAGAATTTCTTTAAAACAGAACTTAAGATGTCCATACATTCAGTAAAACTGTGGTGAAGTGCTCTAATCTGAAATGCTACTATATTTATACATTAATGAAACTAATCAATACATGCTGGGTCAAAATATCTGTAGGTTTTGCATAATCCAGGTAACTCAATTGGACATTGGATATATACCTTTTTTGCAACAGCAACACTTCCAGTATTTAAAACTGCTTGAATTCACAATATAGCCATGAATATCATAAGATATATTTGAGTCAACTGTATCCTGTTAAGCTTATTTTTTAGCAACATAACGCATTATATACATTGCTTAAAATTCTATGGCAGAACATTTTGAATTCTAAGAGAAGCAGAAGAAAACGCTGAAATTCAATTCAGTGTGGAACTTCTTACAGATTTTCATGGTAAGCTTCCCAGTTTTTATACTGACAGTACATTTGATGAAAATTCAGCACCAGTAGTTCCTTTGTGGTGTGAAACATTAAGCTCATCTTTATAGTGTAGGAAACATAAAATCCTATGTGGGCTTTTAAACTGATGCTTGAGTGTCCACGTTGTTCTAAAAAGCCATTTCCACCCCTGACGAAGTTGTTCTGTTGTATTCTTATATGAAATGTTAAAGCATTTGGCCCCTTTTATCATGAAAATTAGAAGCTTTTTCTCTCTCAGGTTTAAATTTGTACCTTGTTAATAATTTTTGAAAATTTATGCTAGTAGCAATAAAATCCACATTTATGAGAATTAAGTTAGGAGTGACCAGATTACAACTCCATTTTATCACTTCTAACTTAATTTCCAATATTACTAAATCATCCTAAATGCTGACTCAAGACATAAATTCTCTCTTGCCCTTAGTCCAAATCTGGCTCAGGCTATGACATTTTCAAGCTGACAATTATAAACAAAAACAAGCATATTACCTTCAATTAAAATAAATCTGCAACAGTTTCTTCCATGAACTTCTTATAGATGGACATGAAGCTGGCAACAAATGCTTCAAGATGAATAATGGATTTACTGCCTAGATGTATGCGATGTTCAAAGAATGCTGCTTTTTCAATAACTTGTGTCTTCAGCTGCATGTCACAATTCTTAACAAGCTCTTGAAGGAGGCCCTAAATTAGTAAAATGAATGTAGTCCTATACTGTGTAATGCTTGAGCTCATTACATACCACTAAACAATGAAACATAAAGGGTTCAAGTTACATCAATAAATCCACAATATTCTAATTCATTTTTTAATTTTTACAGTGACATATTTCATATCTTCTTTGTGAACTGCAAAAATGAGATGACAGGAAATCCATGTCAAAAACTACAAAACTTACTGTATTCTTTGTGAAGTTTCCTAAAAAAACATAACTAATCTCATTACAAAATTACATTATAAAAAATTTTGAATAAGAAATTAAAAGCAAGTTTGTAAGGCATATTTGTCATCAATCTAATGAAACTGTTTTCAGTGTGTTTGAACCAATGAAGGTATTGAAAAATTATATTGTCCTATACGCTTGCCACAGGATAGGAAAGATTAACATTCATATGTAAAGAAAATGCTGACCAGGAACAACAGTAAAGTCACATCGTAGATATCTGCTACACACAATTACACTTGTGAGTACACACTCAACTATAACAGGGTTAATATCTCCTGATATTTGACAAGAGCCAGTGGCATGTTACTGTGGTGTTCCCAGCTATCACACACCCAAAACAGCAGCAAATCTAACATAAGATATTGGGGACAGTATCCTGGCAACTTTCATCTTGTAATACAGTGCATTCAGCGATAAAGTTGAATGCAACTTTCACTTCTTGGCTCCTGGCTGGAACTATATGAGCCCACTCAGCACCACAAGGCCTTTCCAATACAAGTCAAGTACTGCTCCACAAAAATAATAAAATAAACTTACAAATATTATAGCAATTCCTACCAGGTAAAGGGAAGTGATAGGAGCATTCAATCAGCAAATGCACTATACTATCCTTTACTACAGCCTTTGGTCAATAATTCATATATGGTGTATTTAATTAAAAAACCCAGCTATACTGTTAAAAGAAGGTGGTGTTCTGTACTGCAGCTACCAATTTTTTTATAACTTTTTAAACTGGAATATCAGAAGGGAAGAGACCACAGGGAAACATAGATGTAAGTGAGAGGATCATATAAAAATTGATGTTAAACAAATGGGATTTGTGGGCATGGACTTCATTTAACTGACTCAGGATAGAGTCCAGTGGCAGGCTCTAGTGAAAATGGAAAGGAAACATCAAGTTCCATATTAACCTTAGACAATTACAAAAGCTGATTATCATTGCAAGCACATCTGGTAAACTCACCTTAAAAATAAATTCACTGGGTATACCATGAATAATAAGTTCATAGAGCCTGTTGCGTATTTCTAGAAGTTTCTGTGGTGACTGTTCCAGCACAATAATTTTGGCTGTATCTTTAAGAAAGATTTCCCAGTCATGTGCCACCACTTTCTGGTCAGGCTGAAATGGATACCTACAAGAAGAAAACAAATACAGGTGGCTAATGAATTAAATTTTGGTTGACACATGAGACTTCCACATTACATTCCATGTTAAACCATGAAAAAGTATCAACAGTTTCTTCAAAAATGTTAATATATTTTAACTTTTAATGTAGTACAACACCCACAATCAAATCTTAATTGTTTCAAAATTACCAGAGGGATTCTGAATTCCAACAGACTTGACATTAAGGGGCAGTTTCATAATTAATATAATACTGACAATTAGAACTCATATATATCTGTATTGCAGCACACAAATATACAGAAACTATGATTCAACTGACTAGCATGTCAAATATAATTTTATACTGGACTGCAAAGGATTAACATGTAATCTGATTCCAGTAAGAAGAAAATAAAGACAAGAACAGTTTATAACAGGACAGCTGATTCAATTTAAATAATATAAATATATGCATGAATGTTATGAAATCAAAATATACATACTGTTGTACTTTGCAACTCTCCAAAAAGAGAATGGCTCTCCGAAGATTCCTGTTTGACTGCACAGCAATTCGTTCTGCCAGTTCATTTGGAAGAGATAAACATTCCTTCTTGCACACACTCTGAAATTACACATCATAAGCTATAATCAAGGGGGAAAAAATACACAACTAAACATTCAATTTACCCAATAACTTATCCAATAAGAATTAACACCTATAATATATTGGGTGAAACTGCACCAGGTGTAAAGCACACCTACCTGAGATTGCATTCTTAAACCATTCATAAATACACTGAATTCAATCACAAAATAATTCCAAGAACTCGCAGATGACACTTTTTACACTCAAAAATTTTGTGATCTGGCTTTTTTACTCTTGGGGAAAGAACCACCAGTATCTACAAAATAGGAGACTATGAAGACCCCACAGCTGGTCTGGATACAGTAACAAAAAGAAAAATCCCTGCTGGAAATCAAACCCTGGTCATACAGCCCACACAGCCAGTCACTCTACTGACTTACCTATCCCTGGTCATAGTAGATAAGTATACAAAATAAACCTAGCATACCTGAAGGATGCTAATAATCTCCTCTTTGGTTGGTGC